CCTCAGTGTCGCTTTTGCGACGCTACTTCTGCGGCCAAAACCTCACATCTGTGAGCTTCATTAAACAACCGACCTCTTGCACCTGCGAAGCTAAACTCCGCTTCTGCAATACCGTAGGTGCGCCCCCTTTTGATTCTGCACATCTGCTTTAGCGTAACAACCCTCGTAGAACTGCTCCTTCAGCTTCCAGCTCCCAGCTCCTGCCCGCATCTGCGAATCAACTGCTCATAGGTTCGAGTACACACCTGCACACCCTACTACCACATGTGTGATGCACTAGCACCAGACCTATCGACAAACACCAAAAAGATCCGAAACTCATCTAAAACACGTCTGAGCCCCCAGGACCCCTTCCACTCATACCAACAAGTCCTAATACCTAATCAAAACTTTTTCCAAGGCTCATAACATCACAATAACATCTAAAATCAGAATCATCTATCAAGATCAATCTCTTAAGTTTCAAACCTTGTAACTTCCATAAACACGTCTGACATGTCTAAACATTCTGAATCACAATCAAACTTTGTACACAAGTTTCAAACCACTAAATGGACCCATTCCAAGTTCCGAAAGGACAATCCGATCCGAATCCGATAAATCAAATCCTGGTCAAACTTATTAACTCTCCAAACCTTCAAGTTGCCAACTTTCGGCAAATAGAGCCAAAATATTCTAAGAATCTTCAAATCCAAATCTGAACATACGCCTAAGGTCAAAATCATCATAGAAATTTAGTGGAACAATCAAATTGTCAATCCGAGACCGTCTACTTAGAAGTGAAACCTTGATCAACTTTTAACAACTTAAGCTTCCAAAATGAGACTAAGTGTCTCCAATCACTCTCAAAGCTTTCCGAAGCTAAGCTAACCAACTCCACAAGTTACAAAACCACAAACACACATACAAGAAGCATCAACTAAGGGAATGAGGCTTAAATTCACACAACTCGACCGACCAGGACGTTACATCCACTGACCATAAAGCTTCATTTAATATCATGCTAGTATAGATTAAACTTAAAAATCTTGCTTTTGACCAATAACCTCCATATTACCATTGTTTTTGCTCTTTTCGTTCAACTTGGTAGTTGTGAGGGGTGGACGTAGAGGGTAAGGTACAAGTTCACCGTTAGGGATGGCAATGGGGCAGGGCGGGTGCAGGACGGGGCGGGTTTACTTTTATGCGGGTGCGGTGCGGGGCGGGTTGCGGGTTTAATGCGAGTTCAATGCGGGACAACTTTGAATTTTATCTTTTTTGAAACAAGCAATCATTTCAACTACAATTTCACATTCTTCTTCACTAGCACGAAGATATGTATCATGGGTTACCTGAGAGATTTTTATAGCTAAATCTCAAAGTCACGATAATATACATTGCATGTTATTAAATCTGATATATATATGCTGTAGTTTTTAATTTTAGGCAAAGTTTGTAACATCGCTCTGTGCACGTGATACCTGATCAGTGTTGTGTTTTAGATCCTTTCTAATTTCCCCAGTAAATTAGAGTTGATTTTCCTTAAATTCCTTTTTTCTTATTTTGTTTGCATTTTAAGATTGGAGCCTTCTTTGTTTAAAGGTCGCCAAAAAATTATGTTATGTAGTTAGTGATAATCTTAACTTCGCACTGTCTGCACGTACTTTAATTTGAGCAGATCGATGCTTTTGCTAATTTTAACTTAATTAAAAATAACATCCAACTTGTATGAATAATTATAAAGTCCAAGATGTGTAGAATCCACGTAGTTAAAATATAATTAATGTCTTTTCACTGACCTTTCTTTTTAAACTAGTTTGTTTTAGAAAAAAAATTAAAGAAAAAAGAAAAAAATTAAGCAGGGCGGGGCGGGACGGATTGAAATTTTTAGTGAGTTTTACCTAAACCCGCCCCGCCCCGTTGCCATCCCTATTCACCGTTCATGTGGACCTATTAGCTTTGGCTATATATATATATATATATATATATATATATATTAAAAAATAAAAGCACATATTATTGATTTTAAACCCACTAGCTCAAATGATTGTGCTAAAATCCCCAACTCGAACACAACAAATTCAAATCCTAAATCTGCCTCTCGTTGGTGTCACCAATCTTGAGTTAAATCCGTTACTGCTTCTTTCTTTTTCTTTGTTCTCTTTTTTGTATGGGTACCTCTTTTAGTATGTATTCATGAAAAGAGGCGGATAGTGCTCCCGCTTTTTATCTACTAGCAATCTATGGTATAATTGCTAACTCATGTTTCTTTCCTTCTTTTTTTTTTCCTTTTTGATTGGGAATTAACCTGTTTTCTGTGGGTTCAGGCTATTACGTGGAGGTAGAACTTGTTACTATCTGCTAGGGTTCCGTGGGTAACCGGTCATTTTATGAGTGATGAAGAACTATTTCAATTGAAGAAATTATTGTAAAGCTTTTCTTGTATTGGCCCTGTCATGCAAATTATAAATGTATTTTTTCCACTGAACTTTTCTGCTTTTCATCACTCAAAGCATTTAAGAGGACCCCAACTACCATTTAACCAGCTAAAGGAACTTACAAACGTGTTTTTGCTTTGCACATATTCTGGTTCTATGGAATTTAAACGTGCAAACGTTGAGTATTGCATTATTCTTGTCGTTTAATATGCTGAGAGAAGATTGTTAACACCTGAAGTTTGCTACATTTATAGCTGAAACTTTGTTGTTTAAAAAACTTGCTGGATTATTATATCTTTTTTTTTGTTTTTTGTTTTTTTACAATAAAAACGAAAGACAACTTGTACTCATCAAGTGTTTGGGTAACAAAGCCGAGGAGGGTGTAGTCAAGGAGAGAACTCCAGCTATTTCACGTAATCCTCTCATCAGTAAAGGTATTCAATAACTCTACCCATTCAATACTCTATCCATTCTACCCACACCGTTGATCTCCATACCGATGATGTACTTGTCAACCTTCTTCGGTATACCCACACAAGTAACTAAGGACTCCAGAAAATCATACTCCCTCTGTTTCAATTTCGATGTGTAGTTTGACTCGGCACGGAGTTTAAGAAATTTTTTTTTTTTGAATTTTGTGGTCTTAAAAGCTTAACGGGTAAAAGTTATGTGGGGTCATGACTATTGTGTGGTTATAAAAGCTTCTAATTAAGGGTAAAATTAGTAAACTGAAAAGTTTAAAGTTGAATTATTTCCAAATTTAGAAATGTGTCATTTATTTTGAAACGGACTAAAAAGGAATGTAACTCATCTAATTTGGAACGGAGGAAGTAATATTAATTCTTTAATTGACCTGAAAAAAATCCTCTAATGAGAGTATGAGACAAGCCAATGCGAGCGTCGCGAATTGGAATTTCACTATATATATATATATATAAAATTAAAAACATGAGGAAGAATGCTATGTCTCATTCAGAATTCTTTTAGGTGGAGAAAGAATAAAAGAATTTGCGAGTGGAGAAATTGGTGGAATACCATGCAAGTATAAATAAGTTTAATTCTTGATATATATTCCAAGAAACAGTAGAGCTCAACTAAGAAATGAGTGGGAATGGATAAAAAGAAGAATATATATGCTTTGAATGATTTCCCCTAGCTAAAATGGAGCCATAGATGCTCATCAATGCAATCAAGACCCTTTTCTTCTTAGGGTGTGTTTGGTATAACGGAAAATATTTTTCGTGGAAAATGTTTTCCAAGAAAATATATTCTTGAAAAATAAGTAGTAATCTTATTCATTTTCCGGTGTTTGGTACGCAAATTAAGAAAAATGACTTCTCAAGAGTATTCATAAATAATTTAGATATAATAAACATGAAGCCATAAACTTTCAAACCAACAACCTTCCGAACCCACATTTTTCATAAACGTTCGAACCGCTAAACTTTCGAAACCACGGAATTTCTAACCCGTAAACTTTATAATTTCTAAACCCGTAAACTTCCAAACACATAAACCTCCGAACTCATAACTTTGGAACTTGTAAAATTTTGAACCTTTAAACCGATAAATAAAAAAGCTAAAACTGAAAAATATATTAAAAAATATTTTTTTTGGGGGGGAGGGGGGGAGGGGGTGCAAAAAACGAAAAATACAGAATTTGAAATTACAAAAAAAAAGTCAAAATTTAGGGGGGGGGGGGGTCGGAGTTGAGGGGTGGGTGGGTGCAGAAAAACGAAAAAACAAAAAATACTAAAATTGCAAT